GTCATTAGCATCTCAATGGAAGACATTTGGGGCTTTTTTCAATGTCACAAAATAGCCTTACAAGCATAGAAACACAATAGTCGGAATAAAGTTTTCTCCGCAGAATGGGAGGTAAATGGTTCCACAATACCTTATAACATCACCAATGGGGCGATAGGGAAAGCGATACCAAGGAATCAGAGAAAGTAAACAGGCAGCAGGAGAACAAAAAAAATGTATAAACTAAATAGAAATACATAAATATGATTGACATAAAAGAAACAGGAGGTGGTGTAAAAATTAGACTGACATGTCATTGGTTGATTAGATATTTGTGTTAACGAGCAGTTGAGCGTCCAGTGAGTGTTTACTAAAACAAAGCCCATACACAATGCATTCATGTATAACAGAGCACATTGGTTTCTAAGGGGCACAAACATCATATACATTCCTGTCCACTACACAACTACTCGCGTGAAAACGAATATGATCGACAGTGCAGTGCAGTGCATTGAGGGATGTGTTAAAGATGTGGGGTTACAGGATAGTACGATTTGTATGCATGGCCTCATTGACAGGGTACACAGGCCGTGCATGTTTGGCCTGTTAAATGTATTTCTTCTATTACAATTAGATTGGCTTATAAAGAAGTACAAACTCTCAGCACTGGAGAAATACAGGCCTGCTATAGAGGTGCTATTGTTAAAATCCATTAGACTTATCCACCTAATCAACCGTTCAGTGTCTGCAACCCCCCTCTGCCAATCCCTGCACTGGCGTCCATCCTCCATCCCCCTCTGCCAATTCCTCCACTGGCTTCCATCCCACACCCCCCCTGTCAATCCCTGCACTGACTAATCAACTGCTCAGTGTCTGCAACACCCTCTGGCAATCCCTGCACTAGCTTCCATCCCACACCCCCCTCTGCCAATCCCTGCACTGGCGTCCATCCTCCAGCCCCCTCTGCCAATCCCGGCACTGGCTTCCATCCTCCAGCCCACTCTGCCAATCCCTGCACTGGCTTCCATTCTCCACCCCCCTCATTTACCCCAACCTGTCCGTCTATCTCCCACTCTGACTGCCTTTAGGCGATCCCTTAAGACTTATCTCTTCAGGAAAGCTTATCCCACCTCAAACATCACGTTCTCAAACAGTTCATCCCCGCACAGCTACCTCCTCATGTATCACTTCTCCCTCCCTTTTAGATTTTAAGGCCTCACATGCAGGGCCTCCTTACCGCCTTGTCTTGAATTGTATTGTGATTGTAATGTCTCCCTTATATTGTAAAGCGCTGCGCAAACTGTTGGCTTCAAACATCCTGTATAATAATAATCATAATCCATTCACATCTTCCCTTTGTTGCCAACCTGCTTGGGCTCATTTTTTTGATCTAGCAATAAGGGCTGGTTCACACTGGCCTGATTCGGTGGCGGAACGCACTGGGTCACATCATGGCTAGGGTGGGGGGGGGGGGGGGGGGGGTTTGTAGGTGCATTGAAGGCAATTGCACCACAGCCATGCCCCCCGGCCACAATGCAATCGCCCGCACCGGAATGCGTGGCACATCAATGTCTGTGTTCCGGTCCAATGCGGTCAGAAAAAAATAGTGCATGATGTGCAACGTGTTCCGGTGTGGGCAATCTGTGGATGGGGAAAAAAAACTCACTAAACTTCTCCCTTGTTTCTGGGGTGGGAGGGGGTGTTGCGATCGCACGCGCGGCAAAACATTGCCTGCTTCCCGGTTCACTGCGAATGCAAAAAATGCTGCATGCTCTTATTTTTTTGCATTGGCAGTGGACTGGAACGCAGGCAATGTTTTGCCACGTGTCCGATTGCACTGCGGACGGGGGGTGTGGCTGTGATGCCTTGACTTCAATGCACCGCCACGCCTCCTTCCGTCCCAGAACGCAGTGATCCGGGCGGGATGAAATCCGGTGTGTTGCGGCACTGATTTGGGCCGGGAAACGCACTGGGGTTGGTGTGAACTAGCCCTAATAGACTAGCACTGAGCAGTTGAAGAAATAAGACAGGATAGATCTTAAAGCTATTGAAAGGTTTACACTTCTAAAAAATAAATGAAACTAAAGTCTTCAACTTTGTAACAATTGCCAAAGAGTAGCAAAACTTGTTTATTAGCATAGCTTGCATTTAATAAAATGTCTACTCAGAGTGTACAAAAACACTTTCTTCACATTCCAGAGATGAGGAAGTTGTTGTGAAGATTGAATAAAAATTACAGAGACATGTTTCAAAGACGCCGAAGGCAGGACCAGCCTGCGTGGGCAGGGTTCTGCACGAGCACCTGCATAAGGGGCATAGTTTGGCTCATAGAATCGTGTACTGTAAAAAGTGTGTTCGTCTGTTTGCGTGTCTCACGGCATGCGCGTAGACGTGAGCGCACACTCGTTGTGGACGCTGGCATGAAACAAGCTATTTAAGGCTGTGACGTTCTAGCCTGCAACGCTGACTGGTCTTCACTAGTGATGAGCCGAACACCCCCGTGTTCGGTTCGTATTCAAACGGCCGAAAAGTTCAAATACGAACTCAAACTCAATGCAGGTCAATGGGAGTCGAACGCTCGAAAATTAATGTCCCCTTTAAGAGGGCTTATATGCAAGTTATTGGCCATAAATGGTGTATGGGGGTCCGGGTACTGCCCTGGGGGACTGGAATCAATGGCAAAAAAAAAAATACCGTTTTTAAAGGAGCAGTGGTTTTTAACATCACTTAAAGGGTAAAAAAATAAAATAATGAAAAGTTCCTTCAAATATCATGCCTGGGGGGGGTCCCCTTAACCGGCCAGTGAAGTGGCGGATCTGTACGATGTATATAACCTGCTGCAGCAAAACTGACATTTCTAAAAAAAAATAAGACATTTTTTTTCTCTTAAAGTGTGCAGTTCCCCCTCCCTGAACAATATCAGACCCTTTAGGACCAATTTAAAAAAAACAAACTGTGTAGGGTTCCCCCTAAAAGTCATACCAGGCCCTTAAGATATGGTAGGAATATTGAGGGACCCCATGTACAAAAAAAGAAGTGTGTGGGGTTCCCCCAAAAAGTCATACCAGGCCCTTAAGGTCTGGTAGGAATTTTAAGAAGGAACATGG